AGTTGGAAGAACATGCCATGATATTAGAAAATCTAATCTAATGAGGTTGATAATTCAGATGACAAAATACACATTAATTTTATTTAGAAAATCATCAATCAACGAACGAATAAGTCAAAAATGCATGAAAATTAAGAAAAACTTGAGAATTTAAGTAAAATTAAATAAAAATATGATTTTTCGTCCGTTTTATTGAATAATAAACAAACATGAGAGAGGGGACATAGTGAGTGAGAGAGCTAGAGAGAGTAGCGGGGAAACGAACCTTTTTTGTTTCACTTTCCTTTCTTCCCCTCTCTCTCTTTTCTCTCTCTCCCTCTCTATGAAATGTGTGTATTTTTCCCTTTTGTACATTTTTTTCTTCTTCTTCATTGATTTACAAGATATGAGCTTTGTTTGATTCAACGAGATATGCCTTTTCATGTATGTTTTCTTGTACCCCTCTTAATCTTTTTGTATACATTTGTCATGAGATCTTGTGTTTACAAATCTCACATGTTTGAATTGAGAAATTTTATGATTCTGATCTTTAGTATTTTTTTTTATTTAGGCAGAATACCTTTCTTTTTTTCATGAATTCAATTTTTTTTTTCTTACTTCAAACTTTGTGTATGAACTCCCATGATTTGATAGATCGCATCTAGAATTTTTGGTTAGCAATTCTTGATTCTTTTCTCTCTCTTTGATTTTTGCATTACAATTTTTTTGTCTGAATTCTGTAAAAAAAAGATCCATCTCGATAAAATGGTGAATTATTTTTTGTCCCCAGTTTTTTAAATCTCATTACGAATTACGACCTAATCCTTTCAAAATTTTGATATATATAATGTTCATCGCACTAGATCTACCATTGCCTAAGAAAATTCACGATGTTATTTTTAAAATTTTCAATTAGTATTAGGTTTTTGAATTCTACGTGAAATTTCTCATCTTATTTGTATTTTGTAGGAATTCCCTACAAAATTGTGGATGTGTTATTGTTGGTGGCAAGAGTACTAGTGACAATTTAGTCAATTTTTTGAACTCGCAAGATTTCTCAGAGTCGAAGAGAACAATAACAACAACAATAATAGCAGGAACATCAATTTCAAAATAATCTTGCAAGTCCTTAAAGAATCTTCTAGAAACACTTGCAAATACTTTAGAGAAAAGCTAAATGGATTCGATTACGACAAGTACTTCTGACATTCCAATTAATCAAGGTAATAATAGATCAATAAATCGTAGGCTTTCAGCCCGATTTCCTTCATCGAAAGATGCCACGTACCCTGATGACATAGGTAATGAATTCGGGTCAAGGAATAGAACGTTGAATAGAAATGCAAGTAAAGCTCAAAGAGGAAGCCCTAGTACGAAATTTGACCCTTCAATGTCAATGAGAAGATCTGAGACGGGTAGTGAATGTGAAGAGGACGAGTCAGAAGAAGAAGAAAATGAAGAAGAGAGCGCGGAAGAAGGAGAGGAAACAAAAGAAGGAGAGGAACCGGTTAGAATGTCATTGATGGCATTATTAGCGGAGTCAGAAGGTTCATCATACATGATGGGAGAGGACGAGGACGACGATGAGGACGATGGTGGTGGTGATGTTGGTGGAGATAACTTAAATAATTGTTGTGTTTGTCAAGTTAGACATAAAGGTGCAGCATTTGTACCTTGTGGACATTCATTTTGCAGGTTATGTTCAAGGGAACTTTGGGTTGAAGGAGCTAATTGCCCACTTTGCAACAATTTCATATTGGAAATTCTTGACATTTTCTAATCACTTCATTCAACATTGATCAAATTTTCATTTACATATGTGTTGTTATTTATTTTCATTTTTTTTGTTTTGCATTTCTTCTTGTTTGTTAATTGGAGCAAAAAATGTAACTAGTAAAAATTGAAGTTAATGAATACATAGTATTGGTGCACCTACTAATTTTTTATAGCATGAGCATAAAATGGGGTTTGACATAAAATGGGATTCGTGTTGTATATATTCTTATCCTAGCTATTTGTATTACGATTTGTGGAAAAATTATAATGAATTATCATGTTTATATATTGACAAGCAAAATATATAAACGAAGTTTTGAAAAATTTCTAAATGTATAAATACAAAAAAATTGTATATACTTACCCGTTAGTATATTCGCTTGCGAATATACAAACCGCAGCCTCCATAGCATACAAAATTATAGCTATGAAATGCATTTATCGAAACTATAGTTGTAGAACCTTATTATATCTATTATCTTTGCTATTTCTGAAATTGTTAGCATAATGTAAGTAAAATTTGGTTATTATAATAAACACAATCAATTTGTTTAAGAATATTTAGCATTTAGAAAAAAAGATAGTTATATATTACT